CTGCGGGAGAGAAGGGGGGAGATGAGTCAGGTGAGGCTTGGTAGACAGGGGGGTAAGTGATGGAGGAGTGAAGGAAGATGGTGAAAATTGATGGAGGAGTGAAGGAAGACGGAGAAAATTGAGGGAGAAGTGGAGAAAAAAAGGGGGGAGGGGGATGTTGAAGAAGAGGGAGAAGGAAGGAGAAAATTGATGAAGACGTTGATGGAGACGGAGAAAATTGAGGGAGAAGTGGAGAAAAAAAGGGGGAAGGGGGATGTTGAAGAAGAGGGAGAAGGAAGGAGAAAATTGATGGAGACGTTGAGGAAGAGGGAGAAGGAAGGAGAAAATTGATGGAGACGTTGAGGAAGAGGGAGAAGGAAGGAGAAAATTGATGGAGACGTTGAGGAAGAGGGGGAGAATGTTGAAGAAGAGGGAGAAGGAAGGAGAGAACTGATGAAGTGGAAAAAGAGGGGAGGAATGTTGAAGAAGAGGGAAAAGGAAGGAGAAAATTGATGAAGTTGAGGAAGACAAAGATGATGCTGAAGAAGTGGGGGGGGGGGGGTAACAATAAGCGTGGTAGCGATGAAGGATATTAATGATATGGAAAAAGAGAGGTAATGGCGTGAAAGGTTGAACTAATGGAACAAACGCAGGAAATGGTGAGGAAAATTGAAGAAAATACAAAATAGAAAAGGTAATGATGACACCTGTGGATGGCCCATTCGTTTTTTTTTCTTCTTTTTATCTATTCTTACATCTACGATTTCTTTCTGGAGTATGAAAGAAACTGAACACCGATTTTACGCAAATGGACTTTCCGTCTATTCTGGATCCGCTGGCTAAGCGAGTCTCAAATACAGCAAGCATAAACATTATTAAATGGATTTCAGGACAAGACGTGTTACCTGCAGCTAAGATAAGATACTTCCAGCAAAAGGATTTCTCTCTCTCTCTCTCTCTCTCTCTCTCTCTCTCTCTCTCTCTCTCTCGCTGTCTCTCGCTGTCTCTCTCTCTCGCTGTCTCTCTCTCTCTCTCTCTCTCTCTCTCTCTCTCTCTCTCTCTCTCTCTCTTTCTATCTCTCTCTCCCTCTCTGTCTCTGTCTCTCACTCTGTCTCTCTCTCTCTCTCTCTCTCTCTCTCTCTCTCTCTCTCTCTCTCTCTCTCTCTCTCTTTCTTTCTATCTCTCTCTCCCTCTCTGTCTCTGTCTCTCTCTCTGTCACACACACACACACACACACACACACACACACACACACACACACACACACACACACACACACACACACACACACACACACACACACACACACATACTCTTACACCCCCCCCTTCCCCAAAAGACTTCCCACAGAAATCTTTTCAATTCCCCGCATTTCTTTCTCCTCCAACTCTTTGCCACAGTTTCACGCACCATCCATCATCATCCATCATCTGGCCAACGTTATCCTTACTGTATCTTTCCCGACTGTATTTTCTTATATATTAATAATGTCTCTCCCTCATTACGCTTTTACTAAATGTTTACTATAGGTCTCTTTTCACTCTAGTTCTAAGTCCATTTTTTTTATCAGCTGATGTTCCTCTCCCGTTTTGTCATTTTGATGTATTATCTTCCTCACATTCTTTCTTTCTTCCTTCTCTTTCTCTCCCTTGATCGCTTATTCCCTCCTTCTCTCCTTCGTTCTCCCTTTTCATCGCTCATTCCCTTATTCCTTCCTTTCTCGTTCCCTCCCTCCCTTCATCACTTACTCCCTTCTTCCTCCCTCGCTCCCTCTCTCTATCGCTCATTCTCTCCTACCTCCCTCCATTGCCTATTCTCTCCTTCTTCCCTCTCTCCCTCCTCTCTTCTCTCCATCGCCCCATTCCCTCCTTTCTCCCTCTCCATCATGTATCCCTTCCTCGCTTCCTCCCTCGCCTTTTCTCTCCTTCCCTCTCTTCATCACCCATTCCCTCCTGCCTTTCTCCCCATAGTTTATTCCCTCCTTCCTCTCTCTCTTCCTTATTCTCTCCCTCCTCCCCCTATAGCTCATTCCCTCCTATCTCCCTCTTCATCATTTATTCCCTCTTCCCTTCCTGCCTCGCCTATTCTCTCCTTCTCTCTCTCCATCACGCATTCCCTCCTGCCCCCATCTCCATCATTCATTCACTTCTTCCTTCCTCTCTCCCTTATTCCCTCCATCACCCATTCCTTCCTGCCCCCCCTTCCCATCATTCATTCCCTCCTCCCTTCCCCTCTTCCCTCATTCCCTCCCTCCTGCCTCCATCTCCATCGTTCATTCCCTCCTCCCTTCCTCTCTCCCTTATTCTCCCCTCTCTCCCTCATTCCCTCCCTCCATCTCCATCGTTTATTCCCTCCCCCCCTTCCTCTCTCCCTCATTCCCTCCCTCCATCTCCATCGTTTATTCCCTCCCCCCCTTCCTCTCTCCCTCATTCCCTCCCTCCATCTCCATCGTTCATTCCCTCCTCCCTTCCTCTCTCCATCATCCATTCCCTCCAGCCTCCCTCTCCCTCCTCCCTTCCTCACTCCCTTTTTCCCTCCTCTCTCCCTCATTCCCTCCCTCCTCCCTTATTCCCTCCTTCCATCTCTCTTAGCATCTCCAACCGCCGCCCTGTATATCTCCCTCATCTCAGCCCTCGCAGCATCTCCACTGAGGTGATCTCCGCACTTTCCAGATTATGTCTTCTTTATCTTCTTTAGGTGAGCGATAAAATATTATTTATGATCTAATTCTCTCTCCGAATCGCTTGTCTTCCCTCTCTCTCTCTCTCTCTCTTTTTTCCCTTTTCTCTCCATCTCCTTACTTTTCCTTTGCCCTATTTCAACGTTGTTTTTCTTCCTTACCTCTCATTTCCTCTCCTTCTCCCCTCATCTCGCTCCGTAACGTCCCCTTAGCAGATAAAATGACCTACACTGACCAGGGGAACACAGCCTGGCTACCCCCCCCCCCCCACCTGAGAAGTTCGGGCCCAGGGAATGGAAGTGTGGGACGAGGGTGTCCTTGGGAAATGCGGGACCACGGCGTCCTTAGGAAACAGTTCTGAAGCGATGCCGGTCCTGTAGGCGAGGCTGAAGAAGGCGATGAAGTCTAGACAGATGAGGAAATTTGACTCAAACTTACGTCATGGGTGACAGGAGTGGTGTTTGACCTGAAGCGACCTCAATGGCCAAGGGAGATACTGTTTTTAAGAGGCCATATGGGCGCCGCAAGACGTCCTCGGGGCTAAGATCTTGGGAGCAAGCATCGTCTTGCGAATCTGAAGGAGGAAGTGTCTTTGTATGTGTGATTTTTTTTAGTCTTGTTGTTTCTCTTGCTTTCCTTTTCCTTCTTCTCTTATCCTCCCTTTATCTTTCCACGTTCTTCCCTCTGTTCCTCTTCTTCCTTTCTCTCCTTTTCTTCCATCCCCTATCCGTTCTTCTTCTTCATTTTTTCTTGTTCTTCCCTTTCCCTCTATGTCTCTCTTCTTTCTTTCTATCTCCGTTCATCTTCTTTCCTTCTCTTTCCATTCCTCTTCATCAACTTTTTCCTTTCCATTCCATGTTCTCCTTCCTTTCTCTCTTTCTGTTCCACTTCTCCATTTTCTTCTAAGTTCCTCTTTTTTCTTTCCCCCCCTTTCCTTTCTTTCTATATTCCTGCTTTACCTTTCTTTCCACGTTCCTCCTCTTCTTTTCATTTTACATTCCTCCTCTTCCTTTCCCTTAACGTCCCTCCTCTTCCTTCCCTTCTTTCTTCCTCTTCCTCCTCCCATTTCCTCCTTTCTCTCTTATTTTCGTTTTACATTCCTCTTCTTCCTTTCCCTCTACGTACCTCCTCTCCATTCCCTTCTTTCTTCCTTTACTTCCTCCCATTTCCTCCTTTCTCTCTCTGCCAGAAATTCATTGCTTTTTCCATCGCCCCCCCCCCCCCCGTCACCGATGCAAGACCCGCATCTCATCCCCAGCTTGTTATTTCTTCTCTCTACTCTCTTTATCAGTCTACTCTTCCTCTTTCTACATTTATGATTCTCTGTAGCGTTTATTACAGACTTCGTAGTAAAAGTAATATCATTTTTTTCTCCTGCCATTTCTTTCGCTCAATCCGTATTTCATCTCCGCTCTCTCTCTCTCTCTCGTAATTCATTCTTCTTTTTTTCCCTTATTTTCTTATCTCTCTCTTCGCAAAGCGATCAAACTCGACCAAAAGATGTTTTCCTTCACGTTCGCTTCTCGTATATTCTCATCGTCTTCCTATAAACCGCGTTTTATCTTCCTCAAGATTCCCTGCTATCTATATACTTCAAAGATCCTTACCACCTTTTTTTTGAGGGGGGAGGGGGAGGGGGTATTTCTTCTCCTTTCTCCTCTTCCTCTTCTCCCTCTTCTCGTTCTATCTTCTATTCTTCTTTTCTCCATTCCTATCCTCATACACTGCGCTTCCTTCTGTTATCCTTCTTCCCCCCTTCTTCTCCTCTCTTCCTCCATTATTTTCTCCACCATTTAATGTTACTCTTTTCTTCTCCTTCTCCTACTCATTCTCATGCTCCTACTTCTCCATCACTACCACCTTCTTCTTCTTCTTCTTCTTCTTCTTCTTCTTCTTCTTCTTCTTCTTCTTCTTCTTCTTCTTCTTCTTCTTCTTCTTCTTCTTCTTCTCATTCTCCTTCTCCTCCTCCTCCTCCCTCCACCTAATTCCAACAACCCTCCTCCTCTCACCACCTCCTTCCACCCCCTCTTCCTCTTTTTCCCCACTGCCTCCTCCTCCTCCTCCTCCCCCTCCTCCTCCTCCTCCTCTTCCTCCTCCTCCTCCTCCACCCTTGCCCTCTCTCGCAGATAATAAGAGTATTCACCCAACGGCCTTTTCAAGGTTTAAAGAAAACTGTGAAAGAAGGTTGATTGAGGAAGAAGCACTGAATGGAAGACCGATGAGCTCATGGACGCATCTTGGAGGAGGAGGAGGAGGAGGAGGAGGAGGAGGAGGAGGAGGGGGGGGGAAGGTGGGGGAGGAGGTGGGGAAGGAGGGGAAGGTGGGGAGGAGTAGGACGATG